GGTAGAAGTTGGCAGTGAACCCTTTGGCACAGGGGTTGACACACACACACACACACTCTGTAGCTTAACAACATAAAAGCTACTCATTTCAGCCGATGTCCCCTTTTGTGTCACTTGTTCCCAGTCAATCCCTCCCTTGACCGCAGGAAGCTCAGCCAAGCTACGCCCACCAAGACCAGTTGCTTCGGCTTCAAACACCTTACAAACAATGCACATGGAGACCCGTGTCAATAGCACCTGTTTTTAGTCGCTGAGTAGCTCAGGAGTTGGTTTGGACGTCCAAAGAGCTGCCCGTTTGGATGGAGACCGCTAAAGAGGACAGAGAAGTCGAACTGGCAATGTCCACCCATCTTGGCGCTTGGAGGTACTTTGTCCCATACAGGCATACAGCAGGTCCGCATGGCCAGTGGAGGTCCCTGCCCTGTTTCGCTGGATCCACCGCATCCCCCCGCATGTGGAGCTCCTTCCCTTGGAGAATGCCAGGATCCCTCAGGAAGACCCAGAATCAATAGCTGTTAAGGAATCCAGAGAGTCTGGTTCCCCCCTGCTGGCTGCCCTGCTTCTTGGATGTTGAGCCACAGAAAACCGAAGGATGTTTCATGCGATGTGATGCTGAGCTGCTCAAAGCCTATTTTCATGCAGTGCTGCAGAATCCATGGGTCTACGTTGGTGTGCCCACTTCCCACCGTCATGCTGATATAAAGGAAAACAAGTCCTCCAACAAATCATGCAAATAGGTTGGAGGCCATCGCTACTAGGTTGGAGGGCAGCGAAACTAATCAAATCGTTCTGCTCTGTCCAAGTGTGACTCTGCCAGTGGGACATCTTGGGCAAGTATCATGTGCATCCTTCCAACTGCCTCATGACTCATTACAATAGCTGCAAAACTACCCGAAACTGTAAAACAAAATCATCTCAATTATGCATCGAGTCACAGCGGCACCAATGTCTCTGCCTCCTTGATTCGAAAAAGGGGCCGCACTCAAGCTGCGTGTTCAAATCTCTTGTGGATGTGTGGACCACATGCCGCAGCTTCTTGGTTGAACCATGTTCAACAAAAGTGCCTGCAAAGGGTGCAGCCTTACCTCATTGGACCTCAAATTCCCCAATACATGGGTCTGTATCAAATCGGGAGACCTTCCTGGTGTGGCCACCCGCTGGAAGGTTCGAATTGTTTTGACTCAGTTCTGAGCAGTATAAAGCTTGGCTATCTCCCTCTTGAACATATACACCCCCATCTCTGAGGTTTCATCACACAAGCCCAGCAGTTCTTCAGTTACACCAGCGAAAATGAGTTGGAATGGACGTCCAAAACGAACGATCGCCGGGCGCTCCGGGTTGGTTTTGCTGTGTACCGGGAACAAATATAAAACATATTCTCCCACCCAAAGCGGATTCACCCATACGGAACAGAATGACGCCAAGTCCGGGTTTTGATTTTAAGTCCGGGTTTTCCGTTTTAAAACCTGAAAATTCACACAATCACCGAGAAAGTTACGTAAAACCAAGGTCTTTTGATCCACAGCCACCCATGGAGGACGCCCGGACTGCAAAACACGATTGCCGAGGCGCAATGGCTTGAGCGGCTTCATCCACCAGCACCGTGTGCACCGTCTCACGCAAGGTCTGGATGCCAGGCCTGGGATCTTGCGTTGAATTCATCTTATTTTGGTCCTGAAAAGGCTCATAGTTCATGTGAGGCGGCTCCAAATGTCTGAAAAAAAAAAACACCATAAAACATCGATATATATAATTAATGCAACTGTCTCTCTTCTGTTTTCTTTTCCCTTTCCCCAGGGCGGGGAGCATCTGGGAGCAGGGAAGCAAACAAACATCACGTGATTCAACAGCAAGAACCAATGCGGAAACGGTATGAAACGGATTATCATTAAACAAACACTCTGCAGTTTTGAAGGAAGTTTTGCAACAGCATCTGCTAGAAGATGTCCAATATCCCCATGATGCCACAGGCCAGTGGCTTGCTTGGATTTGCTTCAGGAAATCCAAAAACTAAAACATACTCACCATTAATTATTTCACCAAAGGGGATTTACCACTGGGGAAGATGAACAATAGCCTTCAAAAGCAAACCAGTGTACAGCAGAGGCAAATGAAGCGCGTCAAAAAACAAAATCAACCACCTAGTTCCTCAAGATTATGATTTGAAAGCACGCTGGTGCTTTGTAAGCACCTGCAGATTTGAATCTGCTGGTAGAATCATGTTTCTTATGTATCTGTATTTGCATCTCTTCTACCTTACACAACCAAAGGACCCTTGTCTTCAGCCCCACCGGGGCTGTCATGTACACATTTTGTTTGATCTGCCACCCTCCCACACTTGCGTTCTCCCCGCCTGCCGGAACAGCTCAAAGTGCAAAAGACTGAGCGCGAAGTGTGCAACCTTGGGCCACTCCGGCTTTTTTGACCCTTTCGGCCTACACTCACGAAAACACGTGCTCGTACAAAACCGATGCCGCCAATCAGCCCGGTGTTCCATCTGCTCAGAAAAAGAACAACTCTAAAACACATAAAAACACCACAATCAAATCAAATCCAACAACATCCTATACAGGGCACAATGCGTTACCTCACCCCTTTCAGGCCCCTTCAGACTTGTTGCTTTACATGTTCCTCTTGTTCTTCCCCTTGTTCCCACCCCACTACCCCCCTCCAGTCGCTGCTTCCGATCTCAGTCGCTGCTCCGTCTCGAAGTCCGCCTCGCCCCAGCGCTCGCGCCGCGCGAGCTCCCGGAGCCGCTCCGCCAGGCCGCCGGTGCAGCGAGGGCGACGCCGCCCCCTGGAGCTGCGACCGAGCCCACGCGACCGAGGGCGGTGGGAGGAGTGCTGTGGAATGGAAGAAGTGAAGTTTCGGAAAAGCTGTGAATCATTCTTTGAAGATCTATACTCTTATACTATATAGATGTTCTGGGATCCACATGCCTTCTCAAAAGGTACGTCTCGAATTAATTACCTTCTCACAGGATAGATCCATAGGGATCATAAATGAGCATCATCTACTGACAAACACTCCGTGGCTTCCATGATCCACGGGGTTCTTCTCATTCAACCAAATCCGCACTCGCGTGGTCCACAGATAAAGCGCCTGCCCGTGCCATCTGAGCTCTCAGAGCCTCAGGGAAGAGCTGAGGCGAGCTGAGTGCGGTGGAAAGAACCATTGGACCTCACAGTCTTGGGTTGGGGTGGCTTCATGGCATGGGAATGTTATATATGTATGTTCTTATTAGACTTCCAGTAGTGAAACCCTCCAATGATGGGTTGGCCAAATTATGAGGCCCCAAGCACATTGACATGTTGCACCATGCCTCCTCTTACAGGTGTTGTTCCATTTTGACCTATAATATATTCTCACTCAGCTGGGACTGCCCGGCTCTACAGCCCAAAAAGCGTGCCCCACCTGCAAGAGGTTCGGGATTCCCATCCGGCCCATCCAATGGCATTTGAATTCACATCTCCTCCTCCGGAGATGTGAATTCAAACGCCATTGGATGGGCCGGATGGGAATTCCGAACCTCTTGCAGGTGATCCCCCAGAACGATCCAGCACATCTGTTTTTCTTCCACGGCGGAGCCGGATCTCGACGGAACTTCCACGGCGCTCCGGAGCGCCGAGCGTCGTGTCGTGGAGGTCTCCTCACTATCGCTCTCGCTGCCCTGCGCGGGTGAAAGACCAATCGAGTGTTTGAGATGCTCCACTGTAGCCACTTCAGCACCTCCCCAAAGTGGTTTCTACATTCTACATGCCAAAGACACAAGCAGGGCTACAAACATGGCAACTTGGTAGGCGCTGCCAATCCTACAACCCCTTGGCTTCCCATGTGTCTAGGTTACCTGATACGAGTAGGTTGCCTAAAAATAAAAGAACACAGACTGCCACAACATCCAACCCTGCAATCCGCGATGCCTATATGACGCTCTTGTTCAAGCATGTTTGGGTGTATATGTTAATACGGAAACCCCGCAGACCACTGAGTCTATGTTCCCGTTTCCCGAACCTGGTTTCGGTCGTTGCCCGACACCGTCGGTCTCCCGAGCTTTGAGCTACACACTCATTTTGACATGTGGCCGATGTGGGTGCGTGGCTCAAATAAGGAGACCTCCCTATTTGACTCCCTGGAATCTACCCATTGGTGATAGGAGATCTCCCTATTGAAATACGCATTCATGTGGCGCATCAACTCTTTAATCCACGCAATAAGGGGCAACCAACCCCTGACGGTTCAGGACAGATCACTTCATGACCTAAACGTCCCACCCCAAATATCCTCCAAATCCAACTAACCTGAAATTCATTCCCCAACAGAGGACATACAGACGGACTCCATGCCCAACACGGACTTCGACCAACACGGCCTTCCCAACACGGCTGCCTCCACCTTCTTCTCCCAGGCATGCTGCAGCTCCGTGGGCGTCAAACGCCAGGGGGGGAGCTGCAGGCGGCGGTAGACGCTGGGCGCGCTCTGGCGTAAGGACTCCAACGCCTCGCCCCGCCCAGAGCGTCGGTAGGGCCGTCTGGGGTGTGGAGAGTCCAGAGTTTTTATGGGGGGGGAGTTGACATCGACGAGAGGTGTCCAGGATAATTTTCTGAGTGGGTGGATGAAGCGGAAGTTTTTGTTGGAGCTGATCAAATGTCTGTGCAGCCCTTGGAAGAAGGAACTGCGTGTTTTTCTTGTCCAAAACCATATATTATTTTACTATGAGTACTATCAAGAACGATCCCAGAATTGTCACTGCAGAAGGAAGCCGGCCTCCGGCGCGTGTTGCCTCATTCCATGCGAATTGGGCATAGACAAGTCTGGAAAATGCTGGTGAATCCCTTGTTAGGCCCGTGTTTGTTGGAGCCTTTTGAATGTCTTGCTTCGCTAGGGAAAGTCGGAAGTTTGGTTTTGGATTCTAACCAAACTTTTCGACTCCTATGAACAAAACGAGCTGGTGCCTTGGTTTCTTTTCAGGGACAGATTCCTTTGCTTCTTTCAAACCAGCTCGTTTACCTGTGGAAGGGAACATGTATTCTGAGGACGCAGTAAGTCGGATGAAGACGAATGGAAGGACGTCCCAAGGGGCCGGGACCAGGGACACGCATTCTGATGAACCACAGGGTTTATAATTGAACGGAGAATTTAGGCTCTTAAACTCTGTGACCCCAAGTCACTGTCCCAAAGGTTGTGGTTGAAGCTTAGGCACACTTTTAGCTCACGCTTGACTGAGCTCTGGTAGCGAAATGAACACAAAAGTAAACCCAAACGGCTGCAGTGAAACATACATCTATACAAGCTATGTCATGTACATGTAACTGGTGCTACATCTGATCACGGCTCCCGAGTTTAACATCTCCCAGAAGTTAAGCGAGTCAGGATTAGCACTTTCAGAAAAATTAGCTCGTAGCCCTTCTACTCTAGCTCAAGCCGTTCAAGCTTTCAAAGTCAGTTCATGCTCACCTTCCAAGTAGTGGAAATTCATGCCTTTCATAGCTGTAGTCATTTTCTCTTCGGTGACAGCTTTCGTTAGCACGTCGGCCAACATTCGGTCGGTGCCTTCTTTCTTGAGACGAAACTCTTTCTTTGCTGTGCGCTCTTGTACCCAGTGGTACTGAGTGTCAACATGTTTACCTCGTCCCAAGCCTCGACGGTTTCCCATGGCGACGCCAGCGGAAGCGTCCATTGTCACCTCTTTGCTGGGAAACAATCCCCAGTCTCTTGCAGTTGATGCGACTCCAAGCATTTGACATGCTCCGGAAACAAGTCCGTAGTACTCGGATTCGCCACTGCTCAGGGAGACAACTCCTTGGCCTTTGCTGTATGTAGTGAGACAGCATTTGTTGGCCATGAGCACGCCTCCTGACACACTCTTTCGTGTCCTTATGCAACCTGCATGGTCGGCGTCTGACCACATGTTGAAGGGGTTGCAGGTGCTTTGGTTTGGAAACAACTGTGCAACTCTTGGTCGATACCTGACATATCGAGCCAATCGTTTCAGCATGTTCCAGTGCCTCGATGTTGGGTTCTGTAGACCTTGTGCCAATGAGCGCGTTGCAGTTTGCAGATCAGGTCGATCTTGTGCCAAATACGCGGCTCTCATACAATAGATCTATATATCGTTGCATCTTCGGCACTCAGCGGAACTTCTTCGTGTTGGAGTTCCTCTTGACTTGGCTTGGCCAAAGGTGTCTTGACCTTGCCTGGTTGACCAGTGCCTAGCCACTTGATGATCAACTCTGCATGTCTTGGATCTGGTTCCCACCAAATGCCTTCATTTGACCAAGTGATGATGCGATTCAACACTCTGATCTGTTGGCTTGCTTTTGGTGAACCTAGTGGACCAAGAATGCCTCGTTCCACAACTTGCCATTCTTTGGCTGCTGAAGTGTGAAACCATTTGATGTCATCAAAGCTTCCAACGGTCGTGAAATCGTCTCCACGCACTTCTGTTCGAAGTTCTCTGGATGCATGGTACTAGATGCATGGGTTGGATTTGCCTTGTACAAATCCTAGCTTCTTCATGAACTCTGCAATGGTCAGCTCCCAGTTCATGGGTGCGTCTCTGGTGCCGTAAAGGCTTCTGACCAATTTTCCTACTACATCTCCATCTTCTGGTCTCTTGCCTTCTGATGGGATTTCAACATAGAGTTCTCTTGTTGCCTTGGAGTAGAAATGAGCTCTCTTCACATCCAAAAATCCTAGAAAAGATTGCTTTGATTTCCTTCTCTCGCCTTTCTCCAGTGGAAGGCTGTCGCTGACTGCAATGGTTAGCAGTAGCTTCAAAGCTGCTAGGCCCTAGGCTCGGCATGGCTGCGAAAAATTCGTCAAAACCTGAGCCTCTTTTGATTTCTTGCGCTACCAACCGACTTCTGTAGAGAGGATTGGTTTCATCTTGCTTGTTCACATCTACCCATCGAGTTCCAATGATTTTGGTTTCTTTTGGAACTTTACTTCTTGGGATCTTCTCCCAAACTCCCATTGATTCGACAATGTCGATCTCATCTTTTCTGGCTTTCTCTACCTTCTCAGGTAGAAGCTCTTTTCCACTGATGTCGTCATAGTACCACCAGTCTTTTGCCTCTTCTGCCATTTCTTCTGGCAGTGGGATCTTCTCTTCACACACTGGTTTCTCTGGGTCGATGCTTTGCCCATTCACCTGCTCTCGTTCCTTTCACATGTTTTCCCATTGCTTGGGTCTTGATGTGGCTGGCTGCGGCATGAAGACTACATGCTTTCCTTTTGGGGGTTCTTTCTTGTTGTTTTTGGTGCTTTTGAGCGATCTAAAGTAGGCTTTCAAGGGATCATTATTTGTCTTGTCTAGCCTTGTTGTTGCAGTATCACGCAGGCATGATATAAATTGCGTCGTGTATGCACGCTTAGTAGGAGATCACACGCGCGTAGCAAGCCACCCGCTAATTACAGGTTCATACGCCTAAATTATTTTCAGAAGTTCAGCATTCCCTGTAACTCCAAGCCGTGCCAGTAAGCTTCTGCTTCTGGGCGCCCCCGACAGAACTGTGAAGAATGTCGTTGAGCCTAGAGGCAATCAACATCTAGGGCCAAACACCATCTAAGACTTAAGAGAGGGCTAGGTTAAAAAAACACGTAAAATCTCCCTTGATAAGTCCCCACGCTCAAGAACAGCCCTGCGGTGGCTTTGAAAGGAGCTCCTCAAGCAGAAAAGAGTGAATTGGAGTTGTAGAAAAAAGAATGCATTTCGGTATCAGAAATTGGAGACTCCACATCAACCTAGAGATCTTCTTCAAAGCAACTTTCTGGTACCCCTTGCTAGTGGGCTTTTGCCAGCGGCTGGCATGTTGAGTGGTGGGAGAGGCCCAACTCGGGACGTCGCCTGTCCACTCGGAGAACTGTGCCAAAATCTGCAGGCGCTACGCGTAAGAAGGTGCAACTTGGACGATGGAATGACATGGATGCCATAGGTGGAATGATAAGCTAGCGTCACCTATTTCCAGAGGGAATACCTCAAATTTCTGTGTAATATCACGATGCTCTATGAACCGCTTGTCCAAGCTCTCAACAGCAACCAGGCAACGCCCAGGGCCTCAACGAATGAAGTCTCCCAGCTAGCGGCAGGCTAGCAAGACACCTGACGGGTCGGCGATCTCTATCCCAATTCTTTTGTTCCTGCGCCCAAAGAAAACAGCACTCTCCACGTCTCCGATTCACAAACGCTGTGTGGCGACAGTGCGTTGCTAAAAACTCATTTTTGGAGTGTTGGAGAGTGCCGAGATGTTGTTGTTTTGAACATGTATACAGTTGGATAGCTATATAATGCTGCATAACGTTATAAACATGTGTATCCATGTTGGTTGCGTGCGGATGTTTTCCGAACGCTTTATCAAGTGGCCTGGGCTCACGCGTTCAGGCTCGAAAAAGGCTCGAAAAAGGCTCTTCCAGGCCACTTGTTGAAACGCCTTGTCTGGATCCTTTTTTCACGTCCCAATCAAAAGAGAACAAGCCCAAAAAAAATTGTCAAAGCCTTTGCGCCTAGACCTCTTAGAGGCAGAGTTGATGTTTGAGGTTGCGAGCAGAAGACCACAGGCAAACGCACTAAGAGTAGAATATCCAAAAACAAAACATGAGCCCCACAGTGTTTTCAGATCGCCAACCCCTCAGGTGTCTTGCTAGCTAAGTGGCCAGCTGGGAGACTTCATTCGTTAAGGCGCTGGGCGTTGCCTGGTTGCGTGCGGATTTTTCCGGGCGCTTTATCAAGTGGCCTGGACTCTCTTTTTCAGGCTCGAAAAAGGCCCTTCCAGGCCACTTGTTGAAAAGCCTTGTTTGGATCTTTTTACGCGTTGTTTGACAAGACAAAGCCAAAGATATTGCGGTTCTGAGCAGAAGACCGTAGGCAGACATCCTAAGAGTAACATTTCCAAAAAACAAAACACGAGCCCATACTACTGTAAGATAATCTTGTCTTCAACAACTAATTCTTACAAACACACACGTAGAGAGAGAGAGAGAGAGAGAGACGTCCCCAACATGATAGCGTCGCAATTTCCGATTTACAGAAACATAACTTTGGGGGGACCCAGAACCGAAAAGCCCATAAACCTGAAACTATTAGACATTGTCGCTGAGAGGACACAGGCCACAAAGGACCGACTTCAAATCGATCGACTGTTGGGAGCCCTTATGCAGGCATAGCTGTTTAGGAACATCTCTCATAAAGGGTTCTCTTTTTTCCAAGGGCCAGAAGTGCAGCAAGAAGGGCGATTGTTCATCTATTTCCTGCAAACTTCTTTGCAGCCAAGAAAGTAACTTTACCATTCCTGGGCTGCCTGTTTCGCCCCACCACGCCTTTCTTCTGAAGTCCTCCATGCGCAGCGTCGGCCGAGAGAGCGCCATCGCGGAGAGCAGCCTAGAGGTCCCTGACAAAGGGGATCCCAATACATAGATTCCGCTACCCAGGCAGGAACACTTGATATACTACCCCCTCAAGCAGTGAAGAAAAAAGAAGTCTTCCGGGTCGCGTTTCATGG